GCGTTTCGCGGTTCCCCGCTGCCAGCCATTATGGGGCCCTGAAGGATGGGGTCCCTGTGTGGTCCTTCATGGGTGCCCCAGAGGGTTCCCAAATTCCTTGCGGTTTGGGGGGTTTCGTTTTGATGTAGTAGCCTCTGGCCAGCGCCGCCGATCTGGGGCGCTTCCGATGGTGTTCGGGTTCGCTTGGAGGCCTAGGGGGCCGTCTTGGGGCCCTCTTGGGGCCGTCGTAGAAAGAGGCCTCTTGAGGGGGTCTTTGAGCCTCTTAGGAGCTTCTTGCAAGCCTTTCTGGCTGTCTTAAGGCGTTCCTGGACCTTGACGCCGTCGGAAGCCGTCTTGGGCGCCTCGCTCTGCCGTCTGGGAGCACTCTGGTGGCGCTTCAGGGCCGTCTTGGCGGCTATCTTGGCCGTCTTGCGGGCCTATGGGGCCGTCTTAGGACCCTCTTGGGGCCGTCTTGTCTTAGGAGACTCTTGGGTTGTCATAGGGCCATCTTGAAGGCCTCTTGGGCGATCTTGGCGGCTTCTGGTGTCGTCGGAAGGCCGAAAAGAATGAAGCGCCCAAATCTTTCAAAAGCCTCTAGGAAATCAATGATTTGGGCATCTTCGGGCCGTTTTTGGAGGGCATACTGGGCCATCTTGGGTGCATCTTGAGCCGTCTGGGCAAGATTTGGCGGTCATCTTGGGCTCTCTGACCCCACGGGTTTGAATTTGGTTGATTTTTACATGTCCCAGCCCCGGCCAGAAACCACAGCATGTGTGGAATAGCCCCCCCCCTTCCCCAGCAGAGCCCCCCCAGCCTCCCCCCCAGCAGAGGTGCAGATCAGGCTGTAGGCTATAGCTTAGGAGCTTGGGCAGTTTGAAATGCACACGCCGGATCAGCGGATCTTGTCGGATTTGGTCGACGTCTGGACGACATTTGGACGAAAGGGTGAAGCGGGGTTGTCAAACTCTGTGTGCAACATCTGGTCGAAATCACGTTAATTATAGGGCTGCGGAGGTCCGCAGAGGCGCCCATGAAGGCTCACCCAAGGGCCCCGAGGACAGGGAAGCTTCCAGGTCGAAACTGCATTGCTCAGAGCCTCCTCCCCGTAGGACCCCATGTCTCAGGGCCCCCAGATCCCAGATCCGCTCACAATCGCCCCCCGGGCATCTCCAGATCCAGCCGTGGCGATGAGAAGCCTCCAGGAGGCCCCCAAAACAACGAGAAACAGCTGGCGGGGCCGCCGTTGTCTCGACTGGCCTCCCCCTCTGTCCGCCCGCCCTTTTTTGGAGCTCTCGCTGGGGCGGCCCCGCTACGGGTCAGTGGTGCCATGTTTTATTTTTTTGCAGACCCCCCCCCCGCAAAGGGTACCTTCCGTCGACCTCCTGGGCTTTTCTGGTGGCCAGGGCTGGGCAGGACGGAGGAGGAGGAGGCGGAGGCGGAGGAAGTGGAGGTGGAGGTGGAGATGGAGGTGGAGGTGAACGGGGAGGGGAAAGATGATGATGATGATGATGATGATGATGATGATGATGATGATGATGATGATGATGATGATGATGATGATGATGATGATGATGATGATGATGATGATGATGATGATGATGATGATGATGATGATGATGATGATGATGATGATGAGGAAGGGGCATTATGGAAGGAGAAGGAGGAGGAGGAGGCGGAGGAGGAGGAGGAGGAGGAGGAGGTGGAGGTGGAGGTGGAGGTGACGGGGAAAGAGGATGGTGATGAGGAAAGGGGATTATGGGAGGAGGAGGAGGAGAAGGAGGAGGAGGAGGAGAAGGACGGAGGACGAGGACGATGAGGAGGAGGTGGAAGAGGAGGAGGACGAGATCGAATACTTATACGATGAAAACGGTTAGAATACTGCGAAACTAACTTTAAGGATACGAGTAATACGACTACTAATACACATGCTACGAATAATGATAATATCCGTAAGAAGACGAATGAGACGAATACGGATAATAAGACTAATATCAAGGGGAGGAGGTGGAGGAGGAGGAAGAGGAGGAGGAGGATGAGGAGGAGGAGGTGGAGGAGGAGGAGGAGGAGGAGAGGGAGAAGGATGAGGAGGATGATGATGAGGAAGGGGCATTATGGGAGTAGGGGTGGGAGGAGGTGGAGGTGGAGGTGGAGGTGAAGGGGAAAGAGGATGATGATGAGGAAGGGGGATTATGAAAGGGGGAGGAGGCGAAGGAGAAGGAGGAGGAGAACAAGGACGGAGGACGAGGAGGAGGAGGAAGAGGAGGAGGAGTTTTACTAATATTCGAAATAAATGGTTGTAATCATATAGCGAATACTAAGGATAATAGTAAGACGACGAACAAAAAACCGAAGACGATAATAGCAAGAACACGGTTAATAATAATAATATCAATACTAGGAAACATAAGACGACTAGTACTGAGAGGAGGAGGAGAAGGAGGAGGAGGCGGAGGAGGAGGAAGATGACGATGAGGAGGAGGAGGAGGAATACTAATACTAGTAATACTAGTTACAAGAAGAATGCGAATACTAACAATAAGAATGATTCTTATACGGCGACTATTACAACTACTACGACTACTACGAGTATTATTAAGACGACATGCGTATGTGCATATATATTTATATATATACACAGGTATACGTGTATATTTTTCTGTTTCTCTTTTCCTCTTCTACTCCGTTTCTCCCTTTCTCTCTGTCTCTTTTTCTGTTTCTCTCTCTGACTGCGCTTCGTGCGGCCTTTGGGGCGCGCGCGTTTCCAGGCCGCGCCCCTGCTTCCAGCGCGAGCTCCGCCTCCCAGGGGGCGGGCGCGTGCCGGTGGGTGGTGGGGCTCGTCTTCCCCGTCCGCACATGGATTTTCTGTTTGCGCCGGTGTGAAATAATTACAAAAATATCAGTCATGCGAAGACTACTAAGCGCAGGGGTAAGGACAGCGCCAATGATGATATGACTTCGCACACCAATGCGTTATGCTGTCGATTGGCTTGGCTAGTCGCGCGGCCTGTGCAGCTACAGGGCGCGACCTTTCCGGCGTTCCCTGCGCGGCGCGGGAGAGACGGATTCCGGCGCGCTGCGAATTGAGGGCCGCGGCGCGCGCGCAGCGGCGCGCGAGGTCCCCCGCGCGTGGGGCGCGCCCCCCGCGGGCGCGCCAAACTGCCACGGGACCGCGCGCGGGGGCCCCCGCTGGGGGGCCGCAGACGACGCGGGCGCGCGCGCGGGGCGTGCCGAAATAAGCGGGATGCTCACGTGGTGACGAGCCCAGTGGAACCCCAGGTGGGGCTCTCTGCGGGGTCGCGGAAAGCGTCGGGGACGCGCCGAAATGGGCGCGGGCTGCCGCGCGTGGGCGCCCGCTGTGATCGCGCGCGGGGCCTTCTGAAGAGACGCGCGACGGGTGCGCCGACGTGGGCGGTGGGCGGAATGCGCCCGCGCCAGGGGCCATGGGTGGAGTTCCTTGTTGAGGGGCGCGGCCCGCGCGAGGGGGGCGTCGAAATGGCCGTCGGAAGGTTCGCGCTCGCGCCCGTCGGGGCAGGAGGTGGGCGCGCTTCTAGAGCAATCCTAGGAAATCCAGAGGAAGGTTACGGAGCCCTCAGGAAACGACTTGAACCCATGCGGCATTTTCGGGAGCCCAGCGGAATCTTCAGGAATCCAAATGGCGTCGGGGATCCCGAAGAAATCCCGAGGAGCCACCAGAAACCCCATCGGATCTCCAGGGGCCCGGGGGGGGGGCCCGAAGGATGGGCGCGAACCCCGAGGGATGCGGCCGATTCCACGGGCATTTTTCGGAAACGCACCAGGCCCTGGGAGGCCTTGGAACGTTTTCGGGATTCCTGGGGCACGCGCAAGAATCCGCAGGATCGCCTTGTTTTCCCCCGCAATCCCGCGGCGCGTCGCGGGGTTCTCGGGCGGCGGGTGGCCCTCGCGCGCATCTGTGGGTCTGTGGGGGCTCGCGGTGGCCCCTGGGTATCCCGCGCGGGAGGTCTTCGGAATCCAGAGGGGCTCCTACTGGAATCCTATAACCGCAGAGTGCTGATGAATGCCGGGTGGTCTCTGGGGGCCGCCCGAGGGGCCGGGCGGGGGCGGTCGGAACTATCGGGGGATCTACGGGGGCGCCCGGGGGGCCCGCGGCGCGCTGAGGGGCCCGCGCGACGCCCAGGAGGTCTCCGGCAGTCTCTGAGATCCAGAGGAGCGGGGGCGAAGCCGAGTAGAACCGTCAGGCGCCGAGGTGATCCCCGGATTCCCCAGATCTAGAGGAATCCATTGTTCGGCGTATTTTGGGCCCGCGCTTAATTGGGACAGCGCCCGCTCGCGGTCGACTGTCCTGCTGTCTCGTGGAAACTCAGACTTGCTGTCAGATGGCCGAGCGTTTTCTCGGTGCGTCTGTGTCCTCTTTCCACTTCTCCTCCCGCCCCTCTCCCCTCGCCTCTCTTCTCCCCCCCCCCATCCCATTATTACTTGCCGTGAGCGGGCTGGTCTGACCTGGCTCGGCGGCCAGGGGCCTCGTCGGCGGCTCTTGGCGCCCCCGAGAGCCGCCGCGCGCGCGGCTGCTCTTGGCCCCCCCGAGCTGCCGCGCGCGCGGCGGCCTTCTCCTTCGTGGGAAAATTACAATTCGAAGTCGCTGAGAGGGCCCCCGCCCGACCGCCGCGCGCGCGGCGGCCCTGTCCTCGTCTGCGTGGAATGCGACCCCCGGGGGGCGGCAAAAGCAGCGCGCGCGCGCGGCGGCCCTGGGCCCCCCCCGCCGCCGCTCGCGCGGCGGCCCTGCCCTGTCTGGCGCGAAAGTTATCGCTCGGATCGCCGAGAGCCGCCGCGCTCGCGGCGGCTCTTGCGCCGGGGCTCTTCGGGGCACATCGCCGCCGCGCGCGCGGCGGCCTTGCCGTTGGCCGCGCGGGGGAACGCAGCTCTCGCAGCTCCCAGCCGCCGCGCGCGCGGCGGCCCTGCCGTCCTCAGCTGGGAAAACATGCCACTCGGGAGCGCGAAGAGCTGCTGTGCGCGCGGCTGCATGTGGGGCCACCCGGCCGCCG